ATGTGTTTCAGTAGAAAGGTATAAATACTGAAAAAAAAGCCAGAAATAAATCCTTATTAACTCACTCCTAGATTCAGTTTGATAAAACAGAATAAAATTATTAGGATTAAAAGGGGTAATTCTACCAAACCTAGAAAACAGTCTGTAAATACTAAAAACTTATAACTGGACCTTTACCAAAGGATGTAACGTGCTCTGCAGCTACACCAGAGCTGGAAAGTGGGCAAAAATTACAGTGATTTGGTAGGCAAGGAATTGCAGTTTCTTAGGCAGAATAATGTAGCAAGGTAGATAAACATAAGAAATAGAGCTTCCTACTCATATTTGCATTTAGAGTTTGTACTTTCAAAAGTAAAAGCACACAAAACCACACTGCTTATAGGAAGACACTGGTACTGGCAAAGGTGTGCTCTTAATCATGCACATATTTAGCTCCTTTTTATTAATTTCATACAAATGAAGGCATAGCAAGAATGGCTACAGCTTCCTTTACAGTATATGTTTTCAAAGAATACATGACTTTCACAGTCATATATTGGCAGTCAACAGGCTGCCCTGCCATGAGTCTTAAAACATGTAAGAGGAAGCTAGAGAAACTGATAAAAACAAAAGCATCAGCTCCAGAATAGCATAACCACCCCCCCTCAAGAATAGCATAACCACCCGAGCTGCTGCTGCTGCAGAGCTTGAAGCACCCTCTGCACTTGTTACACTGGTGCACTTCAGAAGTTAAAGATGTTGATGATAATCAGTGAGAGTTGGAGTCTTTAATATTGCTGCCTTCAATACCCTACAAACATAACCCACCTGCTAGGTCAAAAAGTATAATGGTGACAACTTTACAAAACTAACCAGACAAGGAAAGCATTGTCTTTCCAGGCGTGGAAGAACAGTGTCTGTCATCAGACATATTCCAGAGCAGAAAAGTGGCTTTTTATTGATCCATAACCACTCATATTTTGACAATGAAAACTGGAATCACATTCATTGCTATTGAGCCATTTGTATGCATTGCTTGTGTTGCTGTAATTGTCACAGTGCTATTAGTGGTAACTCTCTGGAACATTTTGTGGGTCTGGAGTAGATTCTAATGTGATGACATATCAGGAACCAACATACAGTATGATAGTTTGAAACCTTAAAGGAGTGTTATTTACCTGATCATTAGCCAGCATGCACAGCTCTGTTTCCCACTGTCCTTTGCAAAAGCATGACAGTTTTATACCTTGCCTGGATACAGCTTATTACAAATAGCTGTACATATTGGTTAGAACATATTTGGCAAGGTAAATGTAATTCCAGAGGTGTTGTAGGAAGTTGACTTTATGAGATAGTTACCCACAAAGACATGGCCCATCCCTGTGGAGTTAGTCCCTGGATGAACACTAGTTCTCCAGTAAAAAGCATTCTCAAATCAAAAAAGCATACCAAATTCCAAAGCTGTAGGTTACAGCAGACCAAATATTCCATGTAGCCTTGCCCTTCCCACTGGTTTCTACCAACATCTGTTTAGTGTGAGACTAGGCTCATCCAGCTAACAGTTATTGGAACCCCAGTGCCACAGTTTTGCTTTGCCTTGCAGACTTCCAAGTGGGACATGCATGATACAGCACTGTTACATGAAGCTGCAGCAGCACAACTTAACCCAAAAACATTAGCACCAGAAGGGCTGAGGTGTTATACATCTCTAATGAAACTGTAAGTGCATTTGTAAGGAAAAAATACTCCAGGAATGCAGCATGTTAGCTCCAGCACAGCTGTTCTAAAAAGCTCAGTGATGAGTAAAGAAAAGGATTCTTTTTACCTGCAGGGGGCGTGTTGGGTGTTTGCAGAAATTGCCTGTAAGAAGTTCCATCTTTCAGCCACCCAAAGAGGAAAGGATGGTTTGCTGCTGCTGAGATGAGCCAGGGCCTTGGCAGATATCAGTGAAGTACACTCAGGTGTAAGGTGTTAGACAAACAAAATTTGCCATTAGTTGACACTTTGTGTAGCAATTTTCAACCCGAAAGTGACAGCTGTTCTGCTAGTACAACAGTGAGAGGCCAGTATTCAACATTCTGATCTGGAATCCCTTATTGACTCAGTTTACCTCAGCTCTGAACTTCATTTCAATGTCACAACTACTGAAAATTGTACCTTTCTACTTGGAAATATTTCTTTTTGCAGCAATCTCCCTATACCTGTAACTGCCTCATTAAGAAGGCCAGCTGCACCCCAGATTGCTTCCACTTTGAAAGCTTCAGCCTTTCTGACTGGTTCAATCCTAATGCAAGTGGCAGCTTCAAATCACCATGATAGATCCACAGAGGAGGTCTGCCAGTTTTCCTGGGCACTTGGACACTTTGCATTCCTCATGCATCTAAGAGCTCTAATACCCTAAGGCAAGCCAAAGCATTACAGTGCCAGGAACAAACCCCAGGCAGTTCAGTGGATGGCTCTCTGCCATGCCATTCCCATGCTTGCACAGTGCATCAACACGCAAATCCAGGATATCACATATGCTAATGTCTACTAAAAAGACATTTCAGCATCTCAACAAACAAATGGAATCCTGCAGCATTGCTGTGGGGAAATCAAATGCACAAGTGATGAAGGAAGTCCTTCAGTAATCTGCTAGAATGAATGAGCACAAGCAAATGGCAAAGGAAGGAATATGGCCAGAGAGAAGAAAACCAGTTGTGGTAATTCTCCTTGTCCACCCCAGTGTCAGCAGCAAAACCACTGCAATCAGTGGATGATGGATCTGTGACCCTTTGGCTCTGTGATGGCCCACTGCTTTGGTGAAGAAATCCCAATCTGCCTTGTTATATCTAGAGCTGCTATTCAGTGCCCAAGCAGCAAAGATGGCACAAGGGCAGTGACTCCAGGGCCTATACAGCTGCTGCTCCTGTAACCACTGTGAAAGCACAGAGGCTGGGCTGGCAGATGGAAGGTTTGCTTTTGAGGATAAATAGCTCAGATATCAGAAAGTAAAATCAGAGAAACAGATGCAGTCTTTCTTCCCCAGCAGACTGGTACTTTGCTCAAACATACCCTTAGCAACTGAAGGCACAGCTCCTTGAGACAATTCCCCTTACATTATGAAAGACAACATTTCCCAGCAGGCTCAAGAGTGTAGCAAGGTCTCTGACCAGCCAAGCCTCTGACAAGGTACCAGTCAAGCATGCTGCAGTGAGGAGGTAGATAGTGAATAAGAGCCAGAAGTTATGAAAGCACAAAAAGGACTTAATATAGCAGGCAGGAACTAGCACAGGGGATCACTGATACCAGGCTGGACCTAATCATTAAGATAAGCAACAAACCCAGCACATTTATGTTGGTATGCCAAACACGAAGCTGCAAAGCATTTTGAGTATACAGAAGTCATCATTCCCTCATAGTCCACAGAACATTTTCTGAACAAAAATGTTTGCACAGCATTAAGAGGCAGTAAATCTGCCTCTAAACAAAGTGATCATATATATAAAAGTTCAGTAGTTGTAAGAGATCAAAGTTTTGCATTTTTTAAAGTCAAAAACACTACAAAACATGAGACATTATAACTGAGGCTGTTATATTAAAGGTTTAGTAAAGGAAATTATTTGAGATTGCAGGTGAAGAAAGGTAACAATGTGCAAGCCATCCTTCTTGAAGGCTGTGTGCTTTCTAAAGAACTTCTGAGAATCCTCCATGGAGGATATGGTATAGTTGACATACCTTCAATTTTCAGAATAAGGGAAGGCAACGGCACGAGCCACTTCAAAGCTGCCTTGTAACAGCTTGTTTTACCCACATATAAGTCCATGCAGTGAATGTTTTTCTATTTCTGTCACTGAATCCATCCTCCTACCCTAAAGAAATGAGACAAAACCAGTCAATATACTGTTCGGGCGTTCCAGTACGATTACCAAAAAAATTGAGTAATCTCTTTACATATCGAGCTACCTCTAATGGCAGCCCCTATAAAGACAACAAAGCTGTAACATACTGGCCTATTTACTGAAAGAAAAAAAAAATGGTTAAAACATTTAGGGAGAAAGAAAAGGGTTGTTCAACACTACACTGACAGCTTGACTAACAGCACCAGCTGACATCCTCCAAATAATCCCCATCAGGTAGCAACTGCTAGATGCAGCAGTCTGGTATGCTATGCTGGTAAATCAGGAATGTTTCCATCTCATCCAATGGTTTTAGGCTTTTGAGAGATGAGACAAAAGCAGAACTGCATCCTGTGGCCAGCTGAAGTGGAGAGGAACCTCGATATGGAGATAAAACAGCATTTGGAATATTAGCCCTTTTTAAACTCACACCAGGGAGTTCAGCCTGTCCTACAGTGCTTGCAAAGGGCACCTAAGATTTTCTTTCCCCTTCCTTCTACATAAATCTTTCCAGGTAAGTCCCAAAACACATAAGACCCTATACTTCCCTGAATGCTCCAGCTGTAGAATATGGCTTCCATAGAATTTCCCTAATACTCCTCTGGAGTGTCTTAACAGCTATTGCTATTTCTCAACTGCATGCTTTAGCTTGCTTTGAAACATCCTGTCAGATGCTAACGGCAACAAATTCTCTGTTCCTCCACTGCTGCTCCCAAAAAGCCTTTTGGAAAAGTGCTAGGTTGGAGGGATCACACACATGGGCCTTGTAATGGAAAAGGGTTGGCAGTACACAACTTACTCTCTTGACACCAAAAATGACCCTCTGCTAGGGTATAATTTATTGACATGTCTGTCACTAGCAGGTCTTGTAGCACAAAGTTTTGTCATGCTCTTCCCACACAGCTATTCCCACTCATTGCACTTATTATACAGAAAGCCTCCTAAATATTATCAGCAAGAATTAAGCAGTTGCCTTTTCCAAATCTTGTTCCTTAGCTTGCCCTTTCATTTCCTTTTATTCAACATTATCACATTATGTTTCCTCTTCTTATGTGCTTTTCCTCTTCACAAAGCTCTCTAAACAGCTGCAAAGGGGGAGGGACCACTATGCTCACAAAAATTCCAATTTGCAGTGTGCTTCTGCCAGGTCCTACTGTCTGTCTCTTTCCAGGCATTTAAACTCCCAGATTCAGGTTTGCTTTTACATCTCATCCTCATGCATCCTCGACAATCAAGCTAATTGCCAGCTGTCTTAATTGAAGAACAGCAAATCCACCTCTTCTTGTTATTGCCATGAGGAATATGTACACCCTCTTTCTCTTTGTAGTGGGCTCCTTTTACTTGAACGGTAAGTGATCTTTTCTTTCAGATACAGTTTGAAAACAGCAATAGCTTTCGGGGCTAGGAGGTAGGACTGTGATAAAAGCTCTCAGACAATTTGTAACTATCACCTCAGTAGATGGCAGACTTTAAGTGGATGCAGAAAATTCATTATTTTAGTGTTGTTTCTAGCTTGTTCAGTATCAGCAGACCCACAAAAGTGGATTTGGGCAGACAGTAAGTTGGACATAAAATGACAGAACAGTAGGAGATTACAATGATAATCAGTAAATAATATTTCTTTCTCCTCAGTGATAGGAAAAGCAGGTATTGTGCTGAGAGTGAATAAATAGAAAATGAACTATGACATGAACTATAAACAAGACAGATCTCATGTCTCTATAATTTTGGCTTAAGTTCACATATTTTGCAAAGTTCATACCTCCTGATTTTTTTATTGCTACGTAAATAGTTTAAAATAAATTGAAATATGTGAACATGTGCTAAAAAAAAAGCAAACATAAATTAGGAATATTTCCTTTGGTCCGCCAGAATTTCTTGCATGTAGTTCAGCCAACACTCACAGCCTGACAGCAGCATGAAATAGTGCCTTTACCATCAGAGCTTCTTCCCACAGAGACTCCACTGGAGTGTTCAGAGTGAAACTGGCTGAAATGGAATGGAGACAAAAATCACATCTTTCCCATAACTACCTTTTCATCCCACAGTTGTTTTATTTCTTCAGTCACTGAAAAGCAGCTTTAGAAAACATCTGCTTTGTAACCAATGAAGAGTTAGGGCCTATTTAGATTCTTAGATTACACACTTTTAAACCCTTAGTGTTTCCTTTTTGTTTGTGTTAATTGCAGGGTAGAAATTAAAATAGTCTTTAAAATGCAGTAAATTTACCACTGGAACATTGTGTTCCAAATTAGTTTGCTTTATTCTAAGAGACTGTTCTAAGAGGTGTTATAAATCTTTTTACTCAAGAACATGCTGGGAAGTAACAACATCATGAGGTAATTTCAGAGTAGATAGTGGGATTTTCTTATTATTGCATCTCACTCACTCTTTACTAATCCCAGGTGGGAAGCTGGTATGTCACCATGGTTTGTGGAAGAGGGGAGAGCAGAAATGACAATACATGCTGTATTTTTTATTTCTAAACAAATGCTATTTCAACATTTTAAAAAATAACTGCAGT